TTCTATCTCTTTAACAGCTGAATACTTTCACTTTGTTTCCCTTTCACTAAACTTCTCTCTTATTTTTTTATCACACTTGGTTCAGCCCGTCACCAGCAAATCCAACACTCGGCCTGTGAAATATGAACAAACAATGTGATGTGTGAGACACTGTTTAATCCTGTGAAATCAATATGAAGCAAAATAACCACAGAGTGCTATAATTAGCTATAATCACTCAGTTTCTATCTGCTCGTTGTCATGACTAACTCGTGGACTAATACACACACACTGTTATTTTTACAAGTGTTAGAAGGAACTGTAACAAACAGTCTAGGTTTCTGTCATCCAAGCATATTTTTAGATGATATTGAAGCACATTGATCATACCAAAAAGAATCCAAAAGTGACCCAAAGATGGTCAATCTTTGTTTGATTTTGGTCAATATACACATCAACATCCTCATCAGGCTAAAAACAATCAAAGTTAAGGTTCATAGCTCATATCACTCCACAAAGAAGCACTTTTATGCCTCTTAAAACACTCACTGTCCTGCTTTTTCCATTTCCAAAAAACACAGAAAACACGTGTAAATGAATTGCTGTTGGGCTAAAATACACCTAGATAGCCCATGTTACCCTGGCAACATGGTCACTATGACCACTGATTGGTCTTTTTCCATCAGAGCAGAGAAAAACAGAATTGAAGCAGAGAATGAAGTGGCTGGTGTAATAATGTGTAAAGCGCTGATGACGGAGGTGTTGTGTAAGGTTTTGAGCTGCTTGTAAGGCAGACACCTCCTGCCTGTGATGCTGGATTGAAAGCATGAAAAACACGGTGTGAAACCAATCTCTGCTCCGGCTTTGAACAGACACTTTAGTCCAAAGAAGAAAGAGAAGCCTTTCAAGAGTAAATGGGATTGTCTTGTGTGCTTTACAAAACTGCTGCAGATACTTCACTATCTTCTGATTAAAACACGTGACGGATAAGAGCTCCTGTCATTGTCCTCAGCCTGTTTCTGTGACTCATACCTATTCCTTTAAGCTCTGCTGTGAATATATAACAAAGGGCTGAGGCAGACACACACACTGGTGTGACACAAGGACATCTTCTGCAGATAATTAGTAACCTTAACAAATATAACACACACACACACAGGCTCATATATAGGGAGACAAAGACAGATGGCTCGTTAAACACTTCAAACAGCCCTCCTGTCAGGGACGATGCTTGTTGCCATGGAGATGTTAAGGCTGAGGCAGGAGAAGAGTTTCTGATGTTTTTCTTTTAGCATCAATTGCGTTATTTCTGCTCAGGGACTGAAATGACTTGTTGGAAATGTGGGAGCACGTCGTGTGTAAATTACAGTATAGTACAAACACACACTGTAGCTGTAGGCGAGTGTCCATCTGTGAGACTGTGTGGATGTAACACTATGTCCAAAGTTAATTTTAGCAGAGGGTGCATAGATTTCTAGGAATCACTCAGGCTCACAGCCAAATATGTGCTCCATCAGATGCTGCTCACTCATTGTATTCACACCAGAGTCAGTGGGCTTTTCTTTACATCTTTGTCCTTTACTACAAACACCCAATAACGGAGATATGATGGCAGCTTCTTCAGGCTAATAAGATCAAGACGAGAGAAACGCCTGCTGTGTTAGTATCCAAAATCATACTAAAGTGAAAATGATCAAAAGACAACAACATTAAACCACAAAAATCTCTGCCGTTGTGTACAGAAACTTTGCACCTGCTTTAGTTCTGTTAAAACTCATGTCGGTACGCTTTAGTCCATGCCACACTGAGTGTAAGAAGGGTATGATTTTATGAAGTTTGTTGCAGTCAAATATCAATTTCTACTTTAAGACCTCATGGCGAAACGTGTTGCACCAAACAGTTATAGATGGATATTTTACTTGATTAAATAGTCATTTAGACTGTATAAAGTGAGGAAACTGTGAAGAATGGTAAACATTCATCCAAAAGCATCAAATAATAAAGTGTGTTATTTTTCCATGATCCAAAGACATTCAGTTTGCCTCACAGGAGAGAAAGAAACAGAAAATATCCACATTAAAGCTCCCATGAGGATTAATTATTGTTGTTATTGTTAATTATTTTTATTTCAGGAATAACACTGAAATCTTTTAAACTGTCATTTTGAATGCCTGAAACCTGTGCAAGGGGTCAGGTGTCAATGGTGTTGTTTACAAAAAAATTAAACATTTGACAGCCAATAGTCCACAGAACCAGATTTTTTTGTTAGACACGACCAAAACATTAAGACGACCAGATAAGTAAAGACGGCTTTGTCCACAAGGGGTGCCTGACACCACCTGAGAGAGCCTCACAGGAGCTGAAGAAGATCAAATATCAGACTCTGACTTCTATTACACTCATTTCACACTCATTGTATCACATCATTGGCTTAAATTCACATGTGATTAATCCATGTTTAATTGTTAATTCTGATTTAAACCTGTAGTTGCATTTTTCTAACAAATGAATTTCAATTTCAATACGATTTGGTAGTGAGGGAGTCGGCCAATGTCTCTGTTACACAAAGCAGCTCTGTAACCATGCCAAAACAACCAAACTCCTGCTCCTTTGAACTCACACACTGCACACAGAAACTGCGTAACATTGGCATCCCTGTGTGTGTGTTTTATATTGCACTTTGTCAAACTGAGACACACACACACACACACACTACACTACACATCACCACCTTCTTTTCCCTGCATTGTGAGAGGACCAGAGACACAGCAACTCTGTCCTACACCGTTAAACATTCATCAAGGTGTAACAGAGGCAGAAATATCCCACCTCGACATAGCAGTATCCAAGAGCCATCACAATCAACAAAGGTATTCAAGACAAAAACAGCATTTCTTTGACAAAATGGTCTGAAATGGTAGTTGAATCATGTTTCAGTTTCATCATCAACCTCATGTTACAGTGAAGAAACCTCATTTACAGACAGAACTGCAGAGGCTGTGCAAAAAAACACAAGATAACAGATCTTGAGTTAGAATGACTCTGCAGCCATTTCTGTTAATGCAAAGACACTCCATAATGATGGCAGCTACAGGTCCTGTTCGAGACACACGCTGACAGTACCTGACAACTCCTGCGAGAACAAGTGACAGCCTGAAATCATGTGGAAGACGACCCCACCACATCCAGCATCAGAGTGAACTGACACCACAGGTGTCTGACTGAGCATGTGTTGGATGTGTCAGCACATGACATGTTGTCATAGTAACACAAGACTGGGATGAATATATAGGTATGTGACAGCAGGGAGGCGGGGGAGGGCAAAGAGAGTTAGACTGGAGTAAAGAAAGCAAAGGAAAGCACGACTTAGAGAGAGAGAGAGAGGGAGAGAGAGAAAGCTTTGTGTTTGGAGCACTGCAGGGCATTAAGCCATAAAGTTTCACTGAGCGAGGACTGTCAGCTGAACGGCATTAAAAGAGGGTGTGTGTGTGTGTGTGTGTGTGTGTGTGTCTGTGTGTGTTTGTGGCAGCTGCTGCTCCCACCACCTCCCACACTCCTCCCACTCTTGGCTCATGCCCCGCTCAGAAATCCCCTCGTCATATAGACACATTGCTGCTCTGCAGATACAACTGAAAACAGAGTCAAACCTCTGTGACTAAAAGAAAAGGCATGGCTTTCTGAGAAAAGTTTATAAAATCAAATCTTTTAAAAAAATCAATGAGAAAACATGCTTTTGGTACAGACAGTAAAGGCTGTTTACTTGAGGACTCCATGAAGTAAAAACACTGTCTATAATCCCTGCTGCATTTTATATATATTTATAACTCCATATGGTAGAAGAGTTTTCAGTGTTGATCTATATCGATCTTGTTTTACTTTCTGTGACATGATCTCTGATGACTCATCCAGCTCTCAGTGTGGTTTGGACTGATTACCAAACCCCTCTTGTCACATAAAAGCCTGTGGGCTGAGGCAGCTGGAGGAGCAATATGACAGGAAATAGAGGTTTGTTTGGATTACTGAAGCAATTACAGCAAATCAAACACCTGTGAGACCAAAAAGCACATATTTAAACCAACAAAAAGGCCTTGATTGCTCACTGAAGCTCACACTGGGGCCAAGGGATAACAAACTTGTTTTCACTTATTCTTTAAAAAAAAAATCAAATGATTAAGAAATGTCTCAGCACAAGTTTTTACTTCTTGAGTGATTAGCTCACCTCAGTCTATACAGAACAAATGGACCACATGTCTGTTGTACTGGAAAAAAGTCACATCTCCTCCAGCTCCACAAATCATTTGTGTACAGTTTTTCTGTATGTACAGATGAGGGAGGGTTGCTTCAGTAAAATACTCAGACTATGTTGTGCCTACCTCTGTATACACATGGCCTCTATATTATTAGCTATATGCTATACAATGGCATCATTTAAAGTGTGATGGACTGTCCTTGAACCGTGTGTCCTCAGAGAGATAAGATAAGATCAAAGAACTGGACGGAGAAAATCATCAGGAACTTTCTTGTGTGCAGCGTACACTTCATGTTGCAGACTTTACTGTTTTATGAATGTTTACTGTGTGATATACTAACGATATATATCATATCCCTGTAATCAGAATTTAAAGAGGCATGCAGAGGAACTTTGGATTTCTCTGTAACATCATCTTTGTAGCACATTGACTTTCCCACATTAGCTTTGTTACTTTAGGAAAGACGTTTGTTTGCTGCCCTATTTCCTTCTACAATCAACAACAAATATGGAGGCATCTAAAGACTCAAGACCCCCTTGGTTTGTCGGGACTGCAGGAATACATATGATTGGCATGACATTGGTATTGGCAGATATAAAAATTTTTGTCTAATCATTGGCAGTCTGCTCAGGTCTCCCAGTCCTTATTAACTTTTTTAAATAACAGTTGATTTTTGTGAACACAGTGCCATGGTGTTTGTACGAGGAAAATACTGTCTTGTGCGATGTTTACAACTGCCAGTTGTAAACAACGCGCAAGACAGTATTTTAGCCGTTGTTAGCCGTTGTTAGCTGTTGTTAATTGTTTTTTTGCTACACCAGTCTGGTATAGCAAAAAACAACTAACAACAGCTAACAACGGCTAACAGTGGGCGTCCATCTTGGTTTTCCAACTTGTTTACTGAAACGCCATCGACTCGGGTGGAACGTCATTTCCAGCTCCAACATCCGAGGTAACTGGAGCACAGCATAAGCTCCGCCCACCAAAAACCTCACAATTTTCACTAACACGTTCTTTTGTTAGAAATAAGCAGCTGTTTTTTCAGGAGGCGGACCAAGTTTTATAAAACTCTTGTCCTAAAATGTCTGAAAGCGCATGCCAGCTCAGAGTGAGACTTTGAAATCATTAGACTTGACGGGAGGACAATCAACTGAGCAGACCGGGCAGTCGGTGAGTGGAGGTGTGAACTGGCTGACCAGTACCAACACAACACTGTGAAAACTGCACCACTCTATCACTGAGCTCTGTGCGTGTCTGTCTGTGTGTGTGTGTGTGTGTGTGTGTGTAGTTAGGTCAAAGTCTTGAGTCAGCACTAACAGTTTTATTCTCCACCTCCTGTCCCTCAGCCTCTACACACACTACAACTTTCTAGCAACACACACACACACACACACACACACACACACACACACACACACACACACACACACACACACACACACACACACACACACACACTTGAGCAGCAGGCTGGGCTGGCCCACTAAACAGTGACTTCATTGTACAGTTTATGCCAAACAGATTGTAGCCCCCTCCCTCTGCTTCTCCCGCTCCCTTTCCCTCCCTCCTCTTCCTCCCTCCGGTCTTCCTGTCCAACTGGAAAAACAGAGAGGGGAGTGGCCACAGCTTCACTGCTCTGAGTGTGTGAGTGTGTGAAAGAGAGAGAGAGAGTTGGACTGTTTTTACGGCTCTGTGGGGTTCAAAGGTCTCCAGAAGAATAGGCAGCTCTGTGTGGGCACGGCTGATTTAAAATGGAGGAGTCTGTGTGTGTGTGTGTGTGTGTGTGAGCCTGTGTGTAAGTGTGTGTATTTCTCAGCTGTGAGTGGTGCCAAATCGAGAGTAAGGCTCCCACTTTCCTTCACTTCAGAGGGCGGCACTTACTGCTAATGTGGGGTACTGGGAAAGTGTAGATGTGTGTGTGCGGTCTGGAAACAAGCAAGGATTGTGTGGTGTGTTTATTTTGAGCTGGAGCTAAACTATGAGAAAAAAAAACGATGCTGGATGACCAGATTATCTCAGAAAGGTTCGTTTGTTCTTTCATTTATCTGTGATTTAATGTCTCGTAAAGGCACACAGAGTCCATGCATGACAGTGTGTGCTGAAACCAGCTGCAGTTCCTGAGTTGTATTCAAATGTCAGGAGATAACACACAGTTATGCAGTGTGTTTGAAGTGGGATGACACAACCAGCTGTGTAGTCTGCGACTGGCATGTGATCAAACACATCAGAGAGCTTTGGTCTGTTTATCAGGGCCAAAGGGGAATCATTGCAGCTGAGTTTAAGGAAAGATTACTTCATTTACCATGTAAGGGCTTACATGAAGGACAGGAAGGATGGAAGATGCCTCGCTCTTTGGCAGCCAAACTAATAAAAACACTCTGTTACAAATACTCAGCATAAAAACAAGCATGGTGGCATGGTGACACAGACTCAATATAGCATCCGTTTTTGTGACTGCATTGGTGCAATCCCTGTTAAAACAATAACATGGGGTTGAAACTGACAAAAACACTTTAAGATAATGCTGCTCAGATCTGTCAGTATTAGATGGTGTCCTGGTTGATCTACTACGCACCAAATCAATCAACAAAACGAGTTAGCGTGTCACTTTTACAGCTCTTAACCATGGATCATGCACAAAATGCTTACATCAGTTTCAGTTGCACAGCGCTGTAGTCATAAAAGTGAAAATTATTTACCATCTAAATCATCTGGGTATGTAAGTATGACCATAACAAGTTCAATTTAGTGCTATGTCAGCTGAACTTGTGTTTACATACTTTTGAGGTCCAGTTTCAGTTGGACTAATGCAAAAAGTCCAATTTTTGATCGACAAGTAAACATACTGAGGTCCAAAATCCAATTTTAACATTCTTTCTGGATATCATGGACGCAGCATCCTCTGCTCTACAGAGGAGCGGGACTACACGGCATGTTATCAGGGCAATGACTTGTGACAATGACAACTATTAAGTGCCCTTTTATCGAACTCTTACAGAACTGGGGTTTTACAGTTTTCAGTCATTCTATGAACATCATTTAAAACCACTGACAGAAGTTTCTCCAGTAGAGTAGTCAATCATGGCATTGAGGTCCCCTAAGAGACTGTCTCTTAATGCATTTGTATGAACTCAATACATGCATGTATCTCCTGCTGTACAGTTCATGATGTTATTTCTAACCACACTGGCGTGGTAGTGTGGGTTTACACTACTCTACTGGATGTTATGTATCTTGTTCCTTCTAGTGAGCCTGGACTTGTAAATGTTCTGCACTGTGTCTGGGCGGCCATTACATAATGAGCTGTGTTTATCTTTACAAGTGTACCTGTGGGCTATGTAGAGAAAGCTTCTTGGTTATCAAAGTGTCTAAATGAATTCAGCGTTCACACTAACACTGTTGGCTGCACTCTGTGGGGACTTAACATCGAGAATCAAAGACATGAGAAGTGGTATTCGTAGTTCATGAATTCAAAGCCAGGTTGGAAGTGAATTTGTTGACTCACTCTTTAATCTTTTAAATGTCTCACGTTACCTGTTAATTCTGGATGATATAAAATATAAAGCAACTGATGACAGCATGCTATTAGTCTGATATATTAATGTAGAAGACTGAGAAGTTCACTGGATGTATAAACCAGGTTTTCGTATTTATAACATGTAAAAGTAAAACTTTTATACCTACGTGTTACACTGTACAGAAGCACTTAAAACTATCCAACGACAACCACATCTGTGTCTGTGCATTTGTGTGTGTGTGTTTATAAGTGTGTAAGACTCCAGGTCATGCCAGACTCCATGGAGAGACAAATAAAGTCGACAGGCTGTCACTGACACAGATATCAGGTGTGTGTGTGTGTGTGTGTGTGTGTGTGTGTGTGTGTGTGTGTGTGTGTGTGTGTGTGTGTGTGTGTGTGTGTGTGTGTGTGTGTATACTATGATAAATAGGACAGGACACCAGGGATCATGCAGGCGGTATCCTGCAACAGGCCGGGCTATCAAAGCACACTGACACACACCAAACTGCATGGCTGCTGCAGAAGCCTTCCGATGAACTTCACTGTATATCTGTGTTACATGTTAATAAGTGTGTTTGTACACTGCTTCAACCAGCAATGCTCGAGTAATATGAAATAAATGCAATTCCTGGGAATTATAAGCTTTGTTACACCTACAAGTATTAAATAAATGGTTCAATGAACACTAATGATTCGAGGAGGAATCTGTGACTGAGGATATAAGAGAGGAAACAAAATAAAACCGGTAAAGCTAAATGCATCCCACTAATGTAGTGTACCACCTTTACGGATGCTGCCAGCATGAGTTAGGCCTATGTGGTTGATCTCTGACATAAGTCAAACACCATGCTGACCCAAACATAAGAAAGAAACAGAAGAAATTTGAATTGAAACAACAGATCAGACACATTTTGGTACAAAGAACATACTTACACAACAATAAGCCCAACAAGATTCAAAAACAGTGCATCACAACTCTGTCATAAAAAAAGGTCGCCGAGTGAGTAGAAAAAGCCTTTTTGCTTTCCAATAGGACTGTGTGGCATCAAAAGTTAAAGCTCTTTCTGCTTTAAATGCCCAACTTGCTTCTTAACTTTGAAGCACTGTACATTAAAAAACGCTGCTTTACCAAGAATTTCAAATTAATCACATCACAAAAACAAAGCCATCTGCAACTCATCAGACAGCAGCCATTCAATGGTGCTTCAGGATAAATGCCTCAACAGAAACGTAGTGGTCTAGAGACAGTTTATTCAGTAATGCTCTAACCGTGCATCTGAGTGTTAAAAGCTCCTGGACTATTACAAAGGTTTTGAAAACAACAATGTTCATCGTCACTTGTGTTTACAGAGGGTGGAACATCTGCAGTGGCTGAGTGTGACTCAGTCAGAGCCCTGACCACAGCGGATAGCCACAGAGACCAGAGTCATCAGAGGACAAGGCAACAGAGGACCTGACCTGTGATTGGCTGCCAACGAAATAAAAAATATAAATAGAGTCATCTCTCTCTCGTGGTATTTGGAGTCGTCATAAACACTAACCGATGACTGCTGGTGGGTATGCAGTGCCGTTTTCCCATCTGGTTGACACCGAGTGGAACACAGTGTTCCAGCCAGCACAATACACCAAGCTGTGTTCAGCTGCAGAGATACACATACACATACACTCACTCTCAGCACACACAGACCGACGGCAGAAGGACATATCCACATTGTGAGGCTACAGTATCCAGCATGTGTCTGTGTGTCAGTCGGTGTGTAATTCGTGAGTCAGTAATGAGCAGTCGTGTGTAAAAGCACTTAGAGGACAGACTGCAGATTCACGTGTTGGCTTTATATTCACATTAAACTCTGGCACAGTCACATCCATATGGAACAGCCTGAATACTCTCTGGAGCCTGAGGCACCCCATGGCTGCAGGATCAAGCCTACAACTAATTGTGAATGACTAATTCTTTATTAGCCCATGAGATCCACTTACAATGTGTAAATCTGCCAAAAGACAAAATATTCATAGTTGTGTTCCAGCCAGAAATCTATTATTATCATCAAGATAACAGGTCGCTTTGATATTCATCACTTTAACTGCTCTCAAATTACAACCAGAGCCAAAGCACAGCCAAAAAACTCGTTTCAAACCAGCAGATATTTACTGCTGTGCTGTGCAGGCAACACGGCGCTCATCCAAGTGGAGACAGCAAAACAAGCATTTCCAACTTCAAACAATTAAAAAATCACTCCTGTGTAAACACATCAGCTGATCCAGTGTTGACACTTTTATGAGTGGAAAACACTTCTACTCTGAAATCAGTGATCATTTCACAACAGTTTTAATGACTATTGTTTGGAGTGTT